GGTTTTAATAAATCCATTTTATGTAGAAATTGTTGGAATAATCTCAGGTAATTAATGATGAGTGCAAACTAAAACTCGTCGTCGATCATGAGATAAATCGTGCTATTTGTTACTTCTATTTCGTGCTTTTTAAACTGGATTCTGTTTTTTTTTTTTTTTCGTCTTTTTTTGAAATAAAAACTGTTCTGAGTAAATTTCCCTCCCTGCGTTCCTTAATTTCCTGTCTTTTCTTGCCTCTCTTCCCGAGAGAGGCCTCTTCCCTCTTTCCCGCACCCCCGTTCCCTGTTCGCCGGGCCGTTCTCCCAGTACTGAAATATTTTCCACCTCAGTTCCCTGACTAATCTCATATCCTTGAATTATGATTAATTTGTGTCGTGGCGGGGAATATTAGACGAGGAGCAGCAAGTCATTTGTAGCAGTAGCCTTGCGCTGCACTTCGAGATAGCTGCCCCCTTGCAGCTTCCCCCCCAGTCATAGCAGCACAGTCTGTGTGTTCCAGACTCCATCCAGCGGCGTTCTCTTTTCACAGCACCATCTGGCGTTTTGACGCTCACTGATAAATTGACGCGCCAGCAACCACACTAAAAATATAGTCCCAGAGCTGTTGTAAAACTGCATAAAAAGCTAGCTGTCCGAAGTAAAGCTACAGCGATGCAGCCAAGGTAGGAGCATCACTGCTGCATCGCTGTAGCTCCAAAGAATTTTATCACTTGTATGAAAACTCGGCTCTGACAGGAAATATTGCACTCGTTTGTGGATTTGGATTATAACTGTGGACTGTAGTTATGCACAAGTGCCCAATTTCTTCTGGTAAAGTTTTGGAAGACGAAGAGGATGTGGGGTTGAATTTTTCTGGTTCCGAGTTAAGAAATTCCCCGTGAAGACTTTCACGTTTGCATCGCACGTGGACATATCCTCCTAAAATTTCAACTTCCTAACTTTCGTAATTGTTGTATTAGTAATTTGTCGACAAAATTTTCATATTTCCGCACGTAATACCTAGAAGTGCGTAGAAGCTAAAACTAGTACTTGCCGCCAAAATTAGCCAAAATTAATTACAAATTAGTAATTTGTCGCCAAAATTTTCATATTTCCGCACATGGGACTTAGAAGTGCGTGGAAGCTAAAACTTTATTTTTAGCGCTGCACACGAGTATGAAGTACCCTCTTAAAATTTCAGCTTACTAGTTTTTCTGGTTTTCGAGTTGAAAGCCCCTGATCACAGGTGCCTTGAATACACACCACATATATATACACACACACGCACATATATATATATACACAGAGACAGAGGCGTGACAATATGCATTTCGCGCAATTGTTGCCGCACAAAGTGCACGAAAAAAAGAAAAGGGGAAACCGTTTTGATTCGAGAGCGCCAAATTTGCATGTGTGGATTTGGCGTTTCTGATCGTGGGAGCCAGCGTGATGTCTTTTAAGTCAACAAAAATCATTCTTCCACTGTGGTCTTCTGGCGAAATCTCTACGCACTTGGCGCTGTGCCCCCTCTTGCTGTTTTTTCTTTCAGACTGAACTTTGGAAGAATGTGCTTGAAGTGCTCCACTGTTCCTCCTTCGCTTGCGGAGTGTTCCAAGCTATTTAGCGCACAAGCAACAAAAACTTCCTCCAAATTGAGGAGATTTATTTTGGCACTAGTACAGTGACCAGTAGATCATAGTGGAGCATCAGTACAGCTGATAGCTTTATCAGCTGCTTTGACCAATGCTGCATTGCGTGGTGGTCACTTTGTTAGCGGCAAAGACACAACAAAACTATGTCTTACCACAGACAATCGGCTCCACCTACATACACGTCCTAGCTCAGGCATAGGCAACCTTAGGAGACACACGGACCTGTTTTACCTATTGATTTCAACTCGCGGGCCACCTTTTCATAAAACTCAGGTAACAGCGCATCAGGTTTGTCTGTGCGACCATGTGTTTTTGCGCTAAATTTGACGCAGTCAGATCATTAATAGTATGAATAATTATTGCTTTACAGTTTATCACGTGCAACTCATGCGCCTGATTTTTGGTCCTTTCTTGTCCATCAAGGGAATTTGCATATTTTTTTCGAGGTTTCGTACGCGAAATCTCGAGGCGTATGAGGGGAGTTTTTAAAACGGGAGAGCGGCGCACGGGATGGGAATATTTCCCCAAAAATCCTGGTTGCTGAGTTGAAAGTGGGTGACAAAGTCCACTTGCTTCCGAACACACTGGCACACACGGACGACCTCTCGACAGTATGCGTTTTTGCTCAGTAAAAATGGATAAAAATAAACAACAGCAAGTTAATGTGAGCTCTGGGCTTGAACTTTTGACAGAAGATTGTTGGAGCCTGGATTTATATCACTGATACAGATTATCAGAGTATTTTCGAGACTGTCGTTTGTTAGCCTTGTGCGTATTTTAGTTTTGTTTATTTCCAAGACGGTGTGGAGATGTGGAGGACAGCAAACCTCCGTGCGCCCAGTCAGGAACTACATTCCGATTCCCTTTACAAGCTGGATTAAAACGGTCGCGGGCCGCCGGTTGCCTCTCTGTGTCCTAGCTCCTCGACCAGTCCCACGTCTAAACGGATGTGACAATCCTACAAAGGTGATCAGAAC